GCTTTCGCATGCGGGGATGTTTGTATGTATTTATCTCTCTCTCTCTCTCTCACGCTCGCTCTTCCTATTATCCCCTCCAGAAATACCTTAAAGGGGGACTCGCTATCGGAGTCCCGGTGACACTTCGGGCTTCGGACCCCTCCCAGACTTCTAGTTCATTGTTGGGGTAGGGTTAAACATGTACATTTTCATTCCTTATTGGGTTCAACGGTTGATGATATAAATCCTGCATTACCCATAATAAGGAAGATATCATCATTCCCATAGTCTAGAGTCCTTCAGGTAATGCAGGATTTATATCATCAACCGAAGTACCCATACAAAAGGAAACTGTTACCCAATTATGACAAAAGCCGCCTCAGCGAGTCCTCCTAGAAGCTGCACTGCCGTGCTCCTCGCTTCCTGCGTCTGGGGCTTAGGGTTTAGGGCTTACCTGGACTCTAAGGAACCTACCTTTTTAGGGTTCCCTAATATGAGTTCTTTATATAAGTCAAAAAGGTAGGTTATTTGGGATTAAGGTTTGGTTTAGGTCCTAGGGTTCAGGGCTTAGGTTTTGTCTTCGGGTTTAGCAGGGTTGAGGACTAAACTCACCAGGTGTTTGGAAGGATGGTGCTAGTCGCCGTGTATCGCTGCGCAAGGTCTTGGCCAGCAGTTTCGTTGTGTGGCTCCTGCCCTCACCCTATATACACATGAATACCCCATATATAAAGGCTCTAGGCTGCTGGCGTTTTTAGGGTCCCCAGACTTCAGCCGTTCACGGGGTTTGCCGGCTTCCTTTACAGGGTCCTGCACAGTTACTAAATGGGTTGCTGTAAGGCCCGATATACGATCATGAACCCTCAGCCTCCGCCCGCAGGACCCTGAGCCCTTAAGGCCTACACCATCAACCCTTCAGGATCTAGCGTTCAGGGTTCCCGGTGACGTCAAAAGCCTCTGAGAAGGGGACATGACTTCAGACTTCACCCAAAACTAAACACCATGGCAAGGATCCCTCCGCGGGATGAGTTCGAGGTGCCCAAATCCCCCAAAACTAAACCTGGAACCCTAAACCGAATGGCATATGCAGTGTACGCGTATGGTATAATGATGCAATCTTGTATTTTCCGTCCCTAATTAAGCCCTGTCGGGTTCTCCGGAAACCTCAAACCTTAAACCCTAAACCCTAGTTAAGAATCGAAGGCGAAGCCTTCATTGTGCCAGCTACGCGAGCCTTCATGGGCCTATGCTGTGATGTGACGGTTTAGGGTTTAAGGTTTAGGGTTTAGGGTTTAGGGTTTAGGGTTTAGGGATCAGAAAGGGCGTGGCAATGGCACGTGGGATCTGTAAGAGGTATTACAGTCCCGCGCAGGTGATGCTTCATTCCCCCATTCCCTACTAAGAACCAGACAGTATGGTGCGCTCAAGATGTAGGGTCCAGAGTTTACATATGGCGTGGGCTTTCAGGTTTGAGTTTACGGCTTAGGCTTTACGGTTTGGGATTCTTTCTGACGTTCTTCTGCACTCAAGGTGCTGAATTGGAAACTGCAAGCTGTGTACCCTGATATACCGCAAGCGCCAAACCCGAAGGCACGTGCAGGCGACGACCCGTCACCAAGCTCCTCGTCGTCGTTGCTCTGAGAAAGCGCGATGACTGGCATAAGCACCTGCTTCCAGGAGACTAAAGCGCACTGATTTTTACGGTGCGGGTTTAGGAAAGCTCAGGGTTGAGGGCTTACTACAACTGCAGCAACTCCTGCTGCGTTCGGAATGAGATTCACGCTTTCGGCTACATGCAAAACCAGTACGGCTTGGCTAAACTTTGGTGTCAGGGGGTTTTGGGTGTCGCCGGTTGAGGGTTTCGGGTTTAACACTGGGTCGGGGCTTACGAGTTTCACATTGCAGGCCTTGGGTGCAGATTGCCTGTCCTTGCCGCTCCGTCGGACATGCCTGGGTTCCTTACTTGGAGGGTCGGGGGACTTAGTAACTGGTGATTTAAGGGACTTATAAGTACCATAACCCCAATTAGGGTCTCGTTTAGGGTACTTATAAGTCTACTTACTACCTACTTACTAAGTCCCCCGACCCTCCAAGTACTGGCTTCGAAATAAGATTGGAGTTTAGGGTTTAGGGTACTATGCAAAGGGAAATCTACATAGGAACCCTAAACCCCTAAACCCCTAAACCCCTAAACCCTAAACCCCTAAACCCCTAAACCCTAAACCCTAAACCCCTAAACCCCTAAACCCCCAAAACCCTAAACCCGTAAACCCTAAACCCTAAACCCAAAGAGCCTCTACAAGCGGTTTCGCTTCTACTCTCAGGACCCGCCCTCCTCCAGAAAATCAAGCTTCGAGCCAGCAAAATTTCGGGGCCACCATTTGGGAGTTTCCGAAAATAGGGGACCCTCATATAGTAACCTAAGGGTTCCTTTAAGGGATCTACAAGGGTTCTATAAAGGGTTTAAGGTTTAGAGTTTCCGAAAATAAGGGACCCTCATATAGCACCCTAAATAGTAGGATCCCTATTACCAGGGCCCCAAAATGAGGTACCACTAATTTTCGGAAACTCCCATTTAAGGCTTTAGTTGGGGTTTAGGGTTTCTCGTCTCTTGACTTGTCTGAAGCCTTGGAGGGTCGGGGGACTTAGTAAGTAGGTAGTAAGTAGACTTATAAGTACCCTAAAACGGACCTTAATTGGGGTTATGGTACTTATGAGTCCCTAAAATAGCCAGTTACTAAGTCCCCCGACCCTCCAACGCCTCAACCCTGACCTATGAGCCCCCAACAATGAACACCACGCTCCTGGTTCTCCTAAACCCCATAGGTCGGACCCGAACCGGTAACCCAAAACCTTACCCGAACCTCCCACAAAACTGTAGAATCTGCTAGTCCTAGGGTAAAAGGAGGGACCCTTAATAAGGACCCCTAGGTAAATACCCTTAATATAGCCATTATATACCCATTATATAGCCCCATTATAGGGTAAGGGTCCCCATTAAGGGTCCCTCCTTTTCCCCTTTGAGCTAGGTTCCTGAGCAGCCTCTTGGATCACAAGGGTGCCCTTTTTCCTACCGCTCGGTTTTGATAAGGGGGCCCTAACAGAAACAGGGCAAAAGGGTACTACTCAGGAACCCAGTCTATAAGCCTAAACCCCAAACCCGATAAACCCAAGAAACCCTATAAACGCTAAACCCTAAACCCTACAAACCCTATAAACCCTGTCAACCCTGTGTACCCTACAAACCCTATGAACCCTATGAACCCCAGGAACCCTATAAACCCTACAAACCCTAGAATCTATAAGCCTAGGAACTGTGATGGGAGACCAACAGGGGGGTTTAAGATTCTTGGGGTCGGGATTCCTAAATATGAACCCTATTATGGGCACCCTAATCCCTACTAAACCCCCCTAGGCTAAAACCCCTTTCGGCCTCCTACATTATAGAACCTCTTATAGTATACCCTTATAGATCCCTTATAGTACCCTTATAGTAGTCCTTATAGGAACCCTTTAAAGGGAACCCCTATGAACCTGTCCCGGCCTGGTCCCCACAGTCGCCGGCGCGGAGGTGTGAGGCCAAGGCCGTGAAGGCCTCGATCGCGCTCTGCCGCACCTCAGACAGCTGATGATATAAATCCTGCATTACCTTAAGGCCCCTAAAGTATGGGAATTATGGTATATTCCTTATTATGGGTAATGCAGGATGTATACCATCAACAGGATCTCTTTCTTGACGATCTTTACTTGGAGGTTCATGGGTAGATATAAGGTTTCCTTTAAGGGTTCCTTTAAAGGGATCTATAGGGCTTCTATAAGGGTTCTTTAAGAATGTGTTTTGATGGGGTATTGAGGCGGGGCAAAGGTTCAGGGTTTGGAAAGAGAGATGTTGATGGATTTTGAGTTGACGGAGCCCTAAACCCTAACCTAGCGTTTCGAGCGCATGGGTCCTTTTCAGCTCCGGGGTTGCGAAGGTTTGGGTCCTGGAGTTGGGCTCGGGGCTTTGAAATGCAATTCTTAGGCCCTGAAACCTGCAGAGGAAAGACCTTTCTGCTTCAAAAGCCCTTACCACCTCCTCAAACAAGAAGCCACTCACAGAACCCCTATGAAGACAACCCCTCCGCCCAAAAGAAGCAAGGCGTTCGACACCAGCATGCCTAAAGGAAACCGCGGCGCAATTTCCGCGTGTAAGCACTCACCAACACCCGCACATCCTGCTTCATAAGATTTTATAAACCTCTTAGCCTCTTAACAGCTTATACGAAAACCCCAAAACACTGAACCCCTGAACCCCCCCCCCCCCCCGCAAAAAAAAACAAAAAAATAAAATAAAAATAACTGCCACAGTACAAAACATAATCTAGCTGAACTGCAATAGTGGATGTACAGTAGATAGAATACGTTCACGACTATGTGCGCTTAGACTAAGTCCGTTAACACGAACCTCACCCTTAGGTCTTCGCATCTGCAGCTTTCTCCGACAGCAGCAACTTCGCCTGGAGCGAGGTAGGCGTGGTTCCAAAGTGGTAGTCGTCACTGTTCATGTACTCCATTTCTGCGAGTATAGTAGGAATCCTTATGCCACCGCCCTGAATAGACAGGCACCATGGCCCTAATTCATGGTTCAGGGGTGATGGGACTTGAGGATACAGGATTTCGGCTTCGGGGTTTGAGTGTTCAGGGTCTAGGATTAGGCTTTAAAATTAGGATTCGGCGCTCGATTAACATAGAGGCCTCAATAATTAGTGGCTCATGCTCTCCGGTAGCCACTTTTTGCACCAGCTTGCAGGGTGCACACGTTGCGATACTGTACATCGCTAAAGTCCGCAGAGCCGTGGTGGCGGGTGCGGAGGGAGGGACATCTTGAGCGGCACCATCAAACATTCACCACTAGAGTGTACAGTGGCTCATGCTCTCCGGTAGCCACTTTTTGCACCAGCTTGCAGGGTGCACACGTTGCGATACTGTACATCGCTAAAGTCCGCAGAGCCTCCGCCCATTGATTCCACCCCCATTGTGCAGTCTCAAGCACCACGGCCAAGGAAAATTTGCCACATGTGAGGAGGAGTGCCTTTCAAGGACCTGACTCTCGCAAAGATGTAAGAATACATCCCAGCCCAGTCTAGCAGATAGTCCCGGTCTGCTTTGGGTAGTGCAGGCAGGAATTGAAGAGCACTGACTTCCTGAATGTAGATTTCCATGATCTTGGAGGTGAGCCATCTACCTCTCCTCCTAACTAATTCGCTGTCCTCCGAAACCATCATGAGCCACGTCGCGCCACCAGCACGCATGCTGCCCAAATCCAAAGTCTTGGTAAAAGGCCTCGGCAGCGACTGCAGGTGGAGCGCAGCAAGGATGCGCTGAAACCTGTTGCGAAAACTCTGGTCTGACATGGGCCAAAGCTTCTGCCCCGGAGACAGCCCAGAAAAAGCAAACTCGATGACCTCGATGAGGTCCGGATGGTCAACCTTCAGACTCTGATGCCTAGCAGCTTTATACCGTGTCTTTGGTTCAGGAATCGCCAAGATGACCCATTGCGTAGTGAGCCGTACATCCGACGGAAGGAAGAGGCAATGGCGATAAGCCTGGAAAACCTCTCCCGCTCTAGCAAGCCCGCCCCATGTGAGGGCCATACAGCCTGCAAAGAGGGGCCATCCCCAATATAAAGCAATAGAAATCATAGCCAAAAGGACCTGCCAGGGCATTGCAACATGATGGTGATGAGTTTCGTTCCGCATCCAAGAAAAAGCGACGTCCCAGGCCGGCTGAAGCAATCGTCTAATTTTTGGATGCAGGGAGGAGGCCGCATTTATAGTTTCGCTGCAATGGCTGTACGGGCGGCCTGCTTGGTAAAGTTCCCTCCCGTATTTTCCCAGCACAATGTTGACGAAATCAATGTCGATGGCACCTTCTCCAAAAACCGCTTCAAGGTCCAAGCCATTGCCCCGGAGCCAGGCAGCAAACTCGTCCCATAGCCGGTCTCGCACACGCTGAGTATGCTTCTCAACTGGCCTTCCCAACGGCAGCGGTAGGTCCTGCCTAGCAGTTTTCCGCAGTCTGTCAGCTAAGTTCCGAGGCTGCAGCATACCATGGCTGAGAAGGATGAAGGAGATGAAAACCCAAACCCTAAAAACCCTGAAAGAAAAGAGGGCAGGGCCTTCACCAGGGTATCCAAGGGTAGCATCAAAATCCATGCCGCTCCCAAAGAAGGTACGAGCAGCGAAGGAGGCAAACCGGCGATCATGGCGTAAGACGGGCGACGCAGGAGAGGAGAGGCGGAGGACGAGCCTCACCCAGTTCGAAGCCCAACGCCTCAGGCGAGGCAGACGTTGTAAGTCTATGAGACGCTCACCAGAAGTCCATGCACAGTCCAGGCCAGGAACAGCAAGGGGAGGCGAGCCGTCACGAGAGGGCCCATCAGCAGGCATCCACCTGGTAGGGCAGAAGGGATATGCCGGGTAGAGCCCAAATCCAACCTCAAGGGCAGCGGTGCGCCACAGAACCTGGAAGAGCCCCTTTGCAGAGGACCTGCCCTTTGACAGGGCGCATCGCGAAACATTCGAATCCAGCAGGGACACAATGCGTGCCGAAATTGTCTCAAGCGCAATGCTCCGCAGTAGCCGGTACACTGTACTTGACTCCAGTATGTTGATGTGAACGGGCCGAGGCCAAGCCCAAACATCACGAACACTCCATTTGCTCGACAGGGCAATGTGATTTGCGAGAGGGGTCTCCAAGCCTTCAACGCAGAGGTCAGAACAGGCAAGGGCAGCAAAGCGCTTCCGGAGAGAGGAGTCAAGGCAACGCGCGAGATGGGAGTAGGCGGCCTGCTCGGGGCACTCAGGATCAAAGCTGTTAGGGCCATCGCTCAAAGCAAGGTTGCAAAGGAGGGCAACCCAATGCCTTTTGCCCCAAACCTGCTGGACAACACCGTCACGACTCATAGTAGTCCGCCAGGCAGGCAGCCGCGGCATGACTGAAGAGCCCGGCTGAAGAAGGACGGCCGGGACACCGACCAACACAGCGTGACGGAAAAGGAAAAGAGAGGACTCGGCCCGCCGGTGGTCAAGGGCCCTCTCACCCTCCCGCTCTCTTCCTTGAGGACGCGCAAAGGTCCGGGTGGCAGGCCGCCGATGCACAGAAAAATCGGAAACAGGAGGCCTGATAACGAGGGAGTCAAGGAGGCCACGTTCCAAAAGGTGCGAAATCCAACCGACAAGGTGGCAAGACTTCAAGTCGTACTCAGGCGAAGCTTCAAAGCCCAAAGCCGGGCCCGGAACCCAGCCAAGGGACCTGAGATCATCAGAAATGGCACCGACACGAACGCCAACCTCCAAGCAATGGAAGCGGAGGGAGCGAGGGCGCTCAGCATGGGACCTGACAGCAAGCCCAGAAGCCTCGTTTCCGAAACGGTCCCCGAGCTCCTCAAAGTCAGGATCATGGCTCTTAAGAAGGGCCTCGGCCTTCGAGAGCATCCTTGAGTACCCTCCCCTCCGGTCAGCAGACAGCCACAAAGCACGGAGCACGTCAGGATCACAAGGAGCCTGGACAGAGGCAGCGGCATCCTCAGAGGAGTCCGTGGCAAACACTTCGGGGAGGAGCTGGGCCGAGAGATCACTGACAGCCAACGGGGCAAGAGCACTGACGACGACCAGTTCATCAGCGACGGAGCGTGGGAGCGGAATGACATTAGGCGACCCTGACCTAACCTCAGCCCCTTTAACCAAAACAGCCATGAGCGGCCGACGGTAAAGGAGGATAGAAGTCCAGCCCCCCATCAGGCACAGGTGGAGGCAGTCGGTTGTGCACGGCGAGGCGGCGAGCACGAGAGACACAGCAGCAAGTGAAAGCCTTTTTGGCCCGCGGCGCCCCAGCAAGGATAAGGCCGAGCGATCGCGCCAAGGAGAAGAATCGAGTTCAGCTCCGCCGACCTTCCCAAGACAAACCTCCTGCAGGTCCTTCTCCGTAGACCCCAGCAGGCCTGACTCTGCATAGGCTGACCGAGCCGAGTCGAGACACTTGCCTGAGCGAGACCCGCCGGCAGGAGGAGGGCCCCGCTCCTCAAAAGAGATGCTTGAAGTAGTCGTCGATTGTCAAGCCTTCAATGCAATCGGCGAACATAGGGAAGGGGGCGTCGGCCCGAAGCTCCCTAGAATCCTGAAGCAACCCAAAGGAGGCGAGAAATCGGCGGTGGCAGCACGTGGCGACCTCAACACGTGAGTGATCACCCTGGAAGATTGCCTCAAAAAGGGCAAAGACCCGCGGGCCTTCAGCATCAACAGGTGGCACCAGGAGAGACCGGCGATCACAGTCCCTGGCCCTTACCCGATTTGGTCCTTCCCGAAGCAACTTGCACAGGGCCTGTGTACCCACCAGGTCTGCAGTGCGAAGGGGAGGGTAGAGGCAGTTCTTCATAGCTTTCCGGGCCCCAACTCTAAGTTGAGTATAAAAATCCTTGCGATCCGTCACACTGACTGCAAGGTACTGCGAGGGCTTTGCAATAAGCCCTAGCAGGTGCACTCCTGTTGGCAGCCCTGAAGAAGGGCCCCGAAGGGGCAGCTCACTGTAGTTCCGGCCTCTTCGGTCACCGATCATCCGGGCAACGCCCGGGGACTTGAAGCAGTTGAAGACACGAACAAACTCCTTTTCATCACCAACAGGAGCGGGGCCCGCATGGAGCCGCAAGAGGTCCTGCCTATCCCACAACCAGGCAAGATCAACAGAGGAAGAGTAGTCCTCTCTGGCGACATCAGGGTACTCGCCAGGTGGAGCTGACGCACCGTGGCATATGCAGTCAGGCTCAAGGAATGGCAAAGCCAGATCATCGCTAAGGAAGGGCAGAGGGTCGAAATTACCCTTTCCTGTAAGCTTCAGCTCCTCAGGTTGAGCGAGTAGTAAGGCCGCAGGGGGCCCTCTCCAGGAGGAGGCGCTTGCATGCCCGGGAAGCTCTGGCTGTAGGGGTCCGCATTGGGGCCCATGGCGGTGAGGAAATCAGAGAGATCCCCCAATCGTGCAAGTAATTCAGGATGACGGCGCCCAGTTGAAGGTATGGAAAAGTCTTCAACAGCACCGCACCCCCGGAGGAGCCGACGAATCAGATCCAGAGCCCGACCCTGTGAGGGATTGGGTCTCCTCCGCAGCAGGCCTAGGCTTGGGGGCAAGAGGTTGTTGTGCAGGTAGTTAAGGGCCATCACGGCAACGTGCGTCGCCCGCTTTATGGCAACTTTACCTCTGGCTCTCGACCCCATCTGCGGGTCACAATGCCGGAAAACGCCTGGAAAGGGAACCGGCAGAGGGAACAGGGCATGTGCAGGGGCAGAACGGCTGCCCAACAGTAGGTGCAAAGTGTTACAAAGGAACTTTGAAAAAGGAGCCCGCGCCCTCAAGATAAGGGGGGCTAACTTCATAGCCCAAGCACGAAAGGAAACGGTCCCTTCAGCATCTGGGGTAACAGGGCTGGCATTGGCAGCAAGAGCAAGAGTCTCAGACCCGAAAAGGGGAGCCTCGGCAAAAGCATGCGGTGAATTGACGTTGGCTGCAGGCCCGGGCCGTTTTAAAGAGGCCGTCGGAGGCGACGCCACCGAACCAAGGGCGGGCACATTGCTTTTAGCAGGCGGAAGCAGGCTGCTTCTTCCACACGGCCGAGAAACTGTCGCAGTGGAAGGTGGGACCCCAAAAGAACATGACGGCTGGCGAAGGGAACTATCTAAGTAAGAACCCGGAGGAAGATCACCAGAACCATCCTTGAAGTGAGGCTGGGAACTAAACCTTATGGGGCCAGCACCATTGCAGCAAGCAGGTCGGCAGCAGGAGTCACCAGGCAAGGGACCCAAAGGAAGATCACCGGAACCATTCTCGAAGTGAGGCCGGACAGACACAGAGGGCCCCAAACCCGGGGGAGAGTGCAGACACGGCCCTTGAGGAAAACCTAGGCCTCCGGCGATTGCTTGGGACGACGGGGGAACCGTGGCTTCCTCTTGGGAGGAGCTGGCTCCTCTTGCTGACCCGCAGGCGGTGCCTTCGAAGCACTCTGGGCAAGCTCCCTCCTTCTGGTTTGCAAGGCATCTATTTCTTTGATAAATGCCAGGGTTGTGGTTCCCCAGGCTGGGGGGCACAGTGGCGCAAAAGCTTTGAGTCTCGCACTCGTGCTCGAAGAGGCTCTCCCGGTGAAGAGCTGTGGCGGCGGCTCCTCGAGGTAGGCAACGCTCCAGTTGCCTGAGTCCATGGCTGCTTGCTCCTGGGCCACCAGGGCAAGGGCTAGCAGTTCCTGGGCCCCTTCTTGGTCTCCTGCCAACATGCAGTCCCCGATGTGAGCCAAAACCCACATCATCATCCCTGCCTCGCGCTGGCCGGCAAACCGCCGTACCTCTCCACGTATCTGGTAAACAAGGGTCCCGCGTCCTTCATGGAGTCCAAAGTCCGCGGCATCGGGCTTGTAGGCTGCATTCGCTTGAAGGCGGCCTGCGACACTTGAAGGATCGGGAAGCCAGATCGGCTTGGAGCCGTTCGCGCTTCACGGCGCCACCCTTACCAAGAGCAGGCCCCTGACCCAAAGCAGTTGAGTCGACCCCGCCTTCGGCTAGATGACCCACCAACAGCGTGAGGGCCTGACTTTGCTGCAGGATGGCATCGGCCAGACGGTCCTGTTGCGAGGCCCGACAGGGCCCTCCTCGGCTGGAGCACCAAGGTCTGGAGAAGCCTGAGTGACGGAGGCCTGTGCAGGCTGAGGCTCGCGGAGTCGAGGAGGCGGGCCCAACGATGCCCCCAAAGCACGCATCATCTGTTCTGGCATGGGCCCCTTGGACTGCGGGGGAACGAACCTTTGCTGGTGAGCCTTCGGAGGCACATCGGGAGGGGCAAGCAGACGCATATTCCCAAGATTTGGGAGGCCAGTTGCGTAGTGGTCACCCGCTTCGGCCGAGAAGGCTGAGGGCGGCGAGGAATGGGCTCCTCCGAGGCACTGTAGAAGGCTAATCTCTCTCCCGTCTCTGTGGCAAGCCAGGCCCGAGAGGCCTCGATCAAAGCACTGTGCCGTGGCACCACCATGGCGTGCTCCGGCAAGAAGGCCCGGCTCTCGACCGGATCGGTCACAGGATCCATCTTGCGAAGATAGCTGGCCAGCTCCTCCTTCAGGTCCACCACAAGACACGGGACCTGTAACGACACCTCTTGCATGATGCCTGCCTCGTCTTCCTCGAGGCCGGCGACGGAAGTCGTGAAAGAAGGGCCGACCTGAACTTCCGAGTCGCCTTGATTGCCCAAAGTCAAGAGCCCTTCCGAGAAAGTTCCAGGAGGCAAGGCCAGGAGGAAACCCGCAGAATGGCACAACACAGGCAGGGCCAGGAAATCGGAAGGCTCCTCGGTCTCCCCAATAGGGGGAGAGAAGATCAAAGCACCCAAGTCCAGGGGGTCCCCCAAGAATTCGCGTACCAAATCCATGGCTAGCAGAAAGAGGGGAAAGGCACGTTGGCCCCAGCACAGAAGATACGGGCTTCTCCCTCGGTAGGGAAGCCGTGGCACACAGTATTGGAATGCTCAAGAGCACCCACCGCGTTCTTGAACGCACGGAAGCCCCTGAAGGAGGCCGGCCCAGGCAGGGCGTCACAACGAAGGACCACGTAGATGGTGGATCGAACAGCGATGCGATCAGAGGCCTCAGGAAAATCCAAGCGGCCAGCAAGAACCTCACCGGCCCAAAAGCCAGCTTTCCAAGCGCGGGTAGCCCTTGCTTCTCGGGAAGCAAGAGGCAGGCTACGAGCAAGAAAGAGGATGTCTGCAGGCAAAGGAGGAGGGACGGCGTGCCGCACGGGTTCACTAAGGGTTCGGGCCTCGGTTGAGGAGCTTAGGGGAACCGAAGGGGTTGAGGAACTAGGCACAGCCGGGTCAACCACAACCTCCCACTCACCGTCGTTATCGTCCAGGCTGAGACGAGCAAGAGCAGAGGCAAGAGAACGGGCAGCGTCAGCCAGATCCCGGCGAAGCTCACTCATGCAAATAAGGCCGGAGCCTCAAGGAACGAGGACGGGGGAGGACCGCCTCAGGTTGTTCAACGACCTGGCGAGCCGAAGGAGTGAAAAGGATGGCCCGGAAGAGGAAAAGGGCAAGGAGAACCCCGGACAGAGATCCAGCAAGGAAGGCCAAGGCCAAAGTCAGAAGGGATCCCGAACAGTGAGAAGGGCACCCCAAACCCCACCAATTGGACGAAGACCCAGTGATGATGAAGTTAGCTAGGGTCGAGGCCTGAGCCAACATCTTGAGCGGCACCATCAAACATTCACCACTAGAGTGTACAGAACAGGGCTTCGGGCTCCTGTACAGTATAACCATAAGAAGGAACCCCAAAGAAACTATATCAGTAGTCATTTAGAACCCTCAACCCTAAACCCCCAAACCCTAAAACCCTAACCCCTAAAACCCTAAAACCCTGACCCCCAAACCCTAAAACCTAAACCCTATAGATCCCTCATAGAGCCCTTATGGATCCCTTTAAAGGAACCCCTAAACCCCTAAAACCCCCAAACCCTAAAACCCTAACCCCTAAAACCCTAAAACCCTGACCCCCAAACCCTAAAACCTAAACCCTATAGATCCCTCATAGAGCCCTTATGGATCCCTTTAAAGGAACCCCTAAACCCCTAAAACCCCCAAACCCTAAAACCCTAACCCCTAAAACCCTAAAACCCTGACCCCCAAACCCTAAAACCTAAACCCTATAGATCCCTCATAGAGCCCTTATGGATCCCTTTAAAGGAACCCCTAAACCCCTAAAACCCCAAACCCTAAAACCCTAACCCCTAAAACCCTAAAACCCTGACCCCCAAACCCTAAAACCTAAACCCTATAGATCCCTCATAGAGCCCTTATGGATCCCTTTAAAGGAACCCCTAAACCCCTAAAACCCCCAAACCCTAAAACCCTAACCCCTAAAACCCTAAAACCCTGACCCCCAAACCCTAAAACCTAAACCCTATAGATCCCTCATAGAGCCCTTATGGATCCCTTTAAAGGAACCCCTAAACCCCTAAAACCCTAAAACCCTAAAACCCTAACCCCTAAAACCCTAAAACCCTGACCCCCAAACCCTAAAACCTAAACCCTATAGATCCCTCATAGAGCCCTTATGGATCCCTTTAAAGGAACCCCTAAACCCCTAAACCCTAAAACCCACACCAGGGTTCGGATCTTCGGAGTTCGACCCCTTGGTTTGGGTGTACCCGGAGACTCCAATATCCCTTAATTAAGGAATATGCCCTAAAGGGTTCCTTTAAAGGGATCCTTCAAGGGATCTGTAGGGTTTAGGGTTTAGGGGGGTCGAATATCCCTTAATTAAGGAATATTCCTTAAATCATAGTAGGGATCCTACTATGATTTAAGGAATATTCCGTAATTAAGGGATATTGGAGCCTCTGGGTAGGAGCTTCAGACGGGTCGGAGTCTGGGCAAATACGACTTCAAGGCATTCAAGAGTTTGGGGTTGAGAGTTTCGGGCTTTAGGGCTTTGGTAAAGGGTTTAGGCTTGAGGGCTCAGGGCTTCGGGAGTTTAGGATTAAGAACTTGGGATTTAGGGTAAGAATTCAAGAGATTCAAGAGTTTAGGGTTAAGGGTTTCGGGTTTAGGGACCAGGTCCCAGGTTTAGGGCTTGGGGAATTTAGGGTTAAGACTTTGGGATTTAAGGTCAGTCAGAGTTTAGGACCGCGACGTCTGCCATCCAAAACAGTGTACGACGTCCATACCCACTCGAACTGCTTCCTATTTAATTTAAATGACTGCTACTGCTACCGGCAACAACCGGAGGGCAGCTAGTGTTGCTGCTACTGCTACTGCTACCACCACTGCAAGAACAACCGATTCAGGAGGCAGATTTCGGGATTGGGCCAAGGACGCAGCGTCTATCTTTAAAGCTCCGCTTTCCCAAAGACGGCTGCTGTATGGAATTTACGGCTTCTTGTTGAAACGACTCGAAGGCCACACTCATAGCAGCCTGAACTCCCTGTCCCTGACCCAAGAGCCCTAAATTACCCTAAACATGAAGACTTCCAACGCCACAAGTTGACCAAGCCTCTTACCTTTGGTTAGTAGGGAATGGAGGAATGGGGTACAATTATAACTACTATTACCACCATTCTTCCATTCCCTACTAACCAAAGATAAGTTGAAACACCAAACCCGAAGTCCCAAACCCCAAACACGAAGAGCCCAGACCCAGGCTCAAGCAAGGCTGAAACGGTCCAGGGTTTAGGGTTTAGGGGTTAGGGTTTACGTTTAGGTTTAGGTTTTGCGACTTAAGGTTTTACAGCTCTCCCTCCGACTGGGAAGCCCGGACCGTGGGCAGCAGTGTCCGCGCAACCTTTTGAGGAGCTTCAGCGACCCACCCTAAACCCTAAACCCTAAACCCCTAAACCCCTAAACCCTAAACCCCTAAACCCTAAACTAAGAGGTCAGGTTTTCGGGCTAAGAGCCCTAAACACAACCCTAAACCCGCATGAAACCCCGAAACCTCAAGCCTAAAGCCCAAACCCGTAACCCCAAATGCCCGACAACCTTATATTTGCAGAGCAGGAGTCTAATCCTGACAGGCTCACAATGGCTCTGCAAGGGTTTTCCCGGGTTCAGCAGGGGCTCCGCAAACACTTGATAAGGCTCTTCATAGTGGCGTGATATGTACTCATGCCTCACATCCTATATACATCCTAGATTCCAGACCCCCAGGCGCAAACGCCAGAACTCCCAAACCCTAAACTCAAACCCCGAAAACGCAAGCCGAGACTTGAAATCCATAAATCAGGAAACCCAATATACCCCTGAATCCCTACCCTGAAACCCTGAACCCCAAAGCCCAAGCCCTTTGCGAAACGATATAGAACAATGCCTGTCAACACTCGTACGAAGCAGCTTTCGGATTTGTGATGGGAGGCCAAAAGGGGGGTTTAAGATTCTTGGGGTGGGATTCATTAATATGAACCCTATTATGGGAATCCTAATCCCTACTAAACCCGCATAGGCTAAAAACCCTCTGGGCCTCCTATGAACTTAGCCTACTTGTCGGGTGTCATGGGGAACTAAAGGTTAACCATTTTGGTTCTATAGGGATCATATAGGAACTATGCTACCCAAAGAAGGTTAAAGGTTACCTACTCTACTACTACTACTACTACTACTACTACTACTACTACTACTACTACTACTACTACTACTACTACTACTACTACTACTACTACTACTACTACTACGGTTGATGATAGAAATCCTGCATTACCCATAATAAGGAATATGCAATAATTCCCATAGTCTAGATTCCTTAACGTAATGCAGCATTTATAGCATCAACCGTAGGTTAGGGTTCCGGGTATAGGGTTTTAGGGCTACGGCCGTGGAAGGCCCGGTGTAGCGGCCTGCACACGTGGAGGTTTTGAGACAGATCCTCTGCTCGCCTCGGGTTTAGGGTTTAGGGTTCATGGTTGAGGGTTTAGAGTTTAGAGTTTAGGGTCTAGGGGCCTCCCTTTGCATCGTTCTGGCTGTGCTCGAAAGCGATCGCCAACACAAGCTCCATGAAAGTTGCGGCGTAATGGAGGAACCTGATCAAGAAACCCTGGGCCTACAACCCCAAAATAGTAGGATTCATATAGGGAACCGTAACAAAGGCTCAAGGTTTCTTAATCAGGCTCCTACATTACACCTTCAATTTCTCGACCATAGCTTGCCTGGCCTCAGCCAAAGAGCTGACTTCCCGGGCACTGGTTGTCCCCACCAGATCCATGAACTCGCGGCTGCTGTGACTCTGCTGTATGGCAATCTGAAAGCTTTTCTTATCAATATCTGGGGGTTGATCAAAATTATGGGCCCTTTGGGGGGTCTCTATAAAGGTATTCTTTATGGTTTAGGGGACCAAAAGGGGCCCATAATTTTGATCAACCCTCATCTGCAAGTACCCCCAAGTTTAGGGCATAGGGCAGCCCCGTCGGTTTGAGGCTTCGGAAAGTAGGAGCCCGCGGCTTTGCGGGGTCCTACTTCTCAAAGGGGAAAAGGAGGGACCCTTAATAGGGACCCCTACCCCATAATGGGCTATTATAGTGGGTATATAATAGCTACATTAAGGGTATACACCTAGGGGTCCTTGTTAAGGGTCCCTCCTTTTGCCCTTGGATACTTTTCAAAAGCCCGCACCCTCCCAGATCTGCACCAGTCCTTGCTTCGGCTGAAGATCCCGCAGCTCTTGTCGTTGGGGAAAGAAGAACACCCTGAACCCTAAACCCTAAGCCCTGAACAGTGAATGAAAGCTCTCAGCACTTTCAAGAAGGATGCGGCCGACAGCTGCCTTCAGGAGAGCCAGAGGCAATCAAGTGCATCCAGCCGAACCAATTGAGGGTTTCGCAGAACCACGGTGCCTTATCTAGGGCTCCTTACTTTGATACGATCTTGCTATGTAGGCTTCCATATTAGAGCCCTTCATTCTTCGAACATCGCGAGGGGAGACCGGGCAAGCTGGGGCCTACCCTATACCCTAAACCGAGGTATACACTAGTTGTGGAATTGAAGCTCTATGAATATCCTTCCTACTCAGCTCGAAACCATTGCTCCTTAAACCCAAATACACCATAATCACCCTTAAACCTCCAAAACGAAACGTCCCAATCTAAACTCCTGCACGGTAAACTGTAAATCTCTGAAAGCCTGAACCCAGAGCCCCTAAGCCCTGAACCCCAAAACCTCCGATGCGAATCTCTCTTCGCCTTCTCGTAGCCCTTCTCCGGGTCCGACTGGATCAGAAAGCCTCCGATTCAAAGGGATCCCATTTAGGAGCTACGACGGTTAGGGTTCTGGGTTTGGGGTATGTTTAAGGTTCGGGGTTCAGGGTTGAGGGTTTAGAGTCTATGGTTTAAGCTTTTGCGGTTTAGGGTTTGGGGTTTCAGGGTCTGGTCTGGCGTCTGGGGCTACCCAGAGCCTCCAAAACCCCCTAAAATAAGGAATATACCTTAACTAATATTAGGGG